GAGGACTCAGGCTATGTCAAAGCCTAGGGGCGATGATGGATCTTTGCCCCTTTTTCTATAGCCCCCCAAGTCCTTCCCTGAGGGCCCCTTCGAGACCATGCCTGTCTTAGGTTGTCCCTCTTTTGAGGAATCTTACCTGTCATTGGCTAACCAGTCATCCTCCCAGGGCCATGCAGGGTGAAGAGAAAAGGGGCAGAGGTGGCGTCCCTCAGAGGGATTATAGCTTCTGAAATTAGGCAGGGCAGTTCCCAAAAATCAGATACTTTACAAGGTGATTTCCCAATATTTCAAGCATCCACCTGGCACCATACTCAGTTATTACAATATTATCAACTATTTTCCCTATGCTGTACTTTACACCCCTGTATTGGGAAAAATTTATTTGACAAAGGAATGTGTATAGATTTCTCCTTTCTAAGAGTATTTTTTTAAGCTTAAAAATTCTATTGCCATTGGATATAAGTGTATGGATAATGGGAATGGACGTCTAAAACTTCCCCCCAAAAGACAGTTTAACTATTATTGAAATATGACTCTCAGGTATGCAAAAATATAGTGTTAAAGAACTCTGCACCAAATTAGTGCTGAGTCTTGTTTCAGATTTTCACTGATCGCACATCTTGGGCTTTTATTGCTAACAAATGATGGCTGAAAGGTCCTTCCACCAATGAAATGCGATGTTGCTTCTCCAAATAAATTCTACATTAATTGAAGAAATATAATAGATTATTATATGCTGGAACCTACATGAAACACCTTCAAAAAGTGCCTTGTTTTTAGAAATTCTAATTTATTTGTTTTGTTATTGAATAAAAACACATATAACCTTGTGGTAGTATTAGTGTAAGTGGCTAGATGTTAATAAAAGAGAAGAAAGCAAAATTGGCTAAGCTTAATTAGGTCAGAAACTGTAGCTTTATACACTCTAGAGGATAAGATAACCTCAATGCCTTGCCAAGAGGATTAACACCCTTCTGTCCATCCCCCACCCCAGGGTACGGAGGAAGGACTGGTTCCCGACCTCCCCAAGGTACAACCGGTCCACTTTCCTAGACTACGTGGTAGAGGAATAAATAATAAACAGGAAATTCCTCTGCCAGGTGCATGCCAGTAGAAGGCAAGGGGGCACAGGGGAGGTCCATCGACTTTAAGGCATGCGTGGTAGGAACCAAGAGGAAGACCACAAAGGGAAGGTTAATCCGGGGAAAAGACTGGATTGGTTAACAGGAAGGCCCACCACAAGGCCCGGAAAGACCGGAAAGAGATTGGTTAGTTTGCAAGAGTGCCTGGTCTTTTCCAAGCTCGAGGTGATATAACCAGAGCTTAACAAAGGCCTCTCTCAGTAACACACATTTATTAGCCTTTTTGTTTGCCGGTTCGTTTGCACAAGCTATCTATCTCTGCAGCAGCCACGTGGGTCCAGCAGCACCCGAGGCCCAAGTGCAGGCTCCAAATGCGGGCCTGGGTATAGCTGCACAGCGCCATCGGAATGCCCCTTCGAACAGAAGCTAAGCTACCTGAATGCGGGCAGAGATTGAGATGGACTAAATTTTGGAATGGATTGAACTGATGGCACAAAATTTCTGGATCCTGACCCTTCTCCCGGGCTTGATGAAGACAAGGCTGGACTTCTTCACAATGGGATGGAGCTGAACCACTTGGCCATGGATGAGACACAGCCCCTAGGCACCCAGGGACAGTCCTTTATGTTGCTCCATCTTCAATACATCTTATCACTACACCTCATCCTCCCATGTGTGGTCCCTGAAACGCTTTTCTTTCAACATTGTAAGAACACCATTTCTGCCAGCAACAACAGAACAATTTTATTACACATATAAATATTAAAGTGAATGCTGAATCTGGAGGGTCTGATATAGCAGAGATTGCTTGCTGCATTTGAAGCTTAATTAAAAAGCTGTAATTTATTTTAGAAACAGTTATAGATAAAGCTGTAATTTATTTATTTGGTAATAGGAACCACATATGTGGTAAAGTGTAGAAATAAACTGCACAGTGTTTTATTAATCAAGATGGTTGGAAAATAGAACCATGTAGATGATAGTTTCCATTAGAAGGAAAGGCAAATGGAAAAACATGTGATCCTTTTAGTTCCCACAGTACTGTTTCACTGGAAATCTTTCTCACTAAGGGCTGGAATAGGGGAATTTTGGCTCTTAGATTACTTATAAAGTAATACATATTCCAAACATGAGAACAAGATGTTGGTTTATGGAGTAGGAAGCAATATTGTGAATTGTATTTTCAGTACTTCCAACACATGAAAATTTCTTGTGCCTTATGTTTCATTCATAACAGAACTAACCTGTGGTGGGTACTGCGGTCATCTTTGTTGGGGTTTTAATACTCCTCTTTGCCCGACAGCACACATCAGAGGCAGACAATGATTATTTATGTGGGGCCTAAACGATATTAACATTTTTGCTCCCATCTTCTAAGTTCTTCTAGGCTGGACAAATGATCAAATCAACAGAGATTAAAAGGAGAAAATAAAGTTTAAAAAATGTATATGGGGAATTCACATAGGCATGAAAATTCCACATAGAGTGTGAGGCAACATTGGACATAAAAGATATTTTTGGATGTAGAACAAAAGTGGAGAAGCGGGCACTAGATTTTAGAAGTGAAAATGGGTGATTTACAGATAGCTGAGAAAGAGCAGAACATACAGGCAGGAAAATTCTTGCTCGGCAACTCAGAAAAAGTAGCACACACTGGGTATCTAGTTAGCAGGCACCCACCTGCCTCAAGCCCTCTTAACCATTCTTAATTCAAATGAGGCTCAAGTGGCATTCTAAGGTCTTCCTGAAGCAGGTTTCTTTGCCTGAACCTCTTAGGCAAGAAAGGGGAAGGGTCAGAGATTCTTTCTGAGTCTTGTTTCTCAATAGCTTCAAAATCAATGTTCCAAAAAGCAGCCTCAGAATGACAAGACTTTGGTGCCCTTCACTTACATAAGAATAATTGTCCTGGTTCATGTTGTTCCAATTCCTACCCTTGGAGAGAGGCTCTGAGGACTATTTGTCACACCCTACATGCATCCTGCACAAGTGAGGAATGCTGAGAAAATAAATCGAGGCATTTAGGGAAAAAAGAAAGGCAGTTCTTTTCCCATCTAAAGAAAGGAGAGCCCTGGCTGGTATAGCTCAGTGGATTGAGCGTGGGCCTGCTAGCCAAAGGGTCGTCAGTTCAGTTCACAATCAAGGCACATGCCTGGGTTGCTGGCCAAATTTCCGGGAGCAGGAGTACAAGAGGCAACCACACATTGATGTTTCTCTCCCTCTCTTTCTTCCTCCCTTCCTCTCTGTCTAAAAATAAATTAATAAAATCTTAAAAATAAATAGATAAAAGAAGTGAGAAAAATACCTCACTCCTTGAAGACAATAATATGTAAAAGAATCCTGGGTTCTCTGGATAACCCTTTTATAATGTAAATAAATCTCTCCAGGGGCCATACTAGCCCAGTGTCACCAGCTTTACAACCAGGAGACAGCTCCAAAGTCCCTTCCTCACCCTTACTTGAAATGTGAACAAACATCTCCAAAGTTACATAAATCTTCTGAGTTCTCATTATCTATACAGTTGTAATTTATCTTCTAGAGCTTGCTTTTAATCCAGGTTTTTAAGTTTACGTGAAACTTGCTCAACTCTGTAGAAATACATATTTTCTCTACATTTCGCAGTGTTCCAAGATCAGTTCTGCCCAGCTGAAAACTTCATATCCTAATTGCTTTCAAATAGATGTGACCTATGCCTAAATTCCTGACATTGGGATTTCGCTTCTAGGTATGGTGCTATGTGTAATGTAGTTCATGATGAAATTACGACTACCTTGAGTTTGGATTGCGGGCAACAAATGTTGCACATTGCTGTGCTTCTCTCACAAAAATCTAAAAAATGTGCTGACTCAGTAGGTTGGGCATCATCCTGCAAACTGAAAGGTTGCCAGCTTAATTCCCAGTCAAGGCAGATGCTTGGGTTGCTGGTAGGGTCCCTGGTAGGGGGCACGCAAGAGGCAACCAATGGATGTTTCTCTCACACATCGGTGTTTCTCTCCCTCTCTTCTTTCCCCTCTCTCTAAAACATAAATAAATAAAATATATTTTTTAAAAATCTAAAAACCCTGCAGTTCCCTGGTGAGTTTGTTGTGGTTCCCTGGGAAGCTCAGTGCACAGTTTAGGAACTGGGGAGACAGCCCCTAACATTTGACAGATAAATGACACGGACAGTATTTGTTCAGGTAATGCCTACTAACAAGTTAAACGGCAAGAAATGACTGTTTGGTTCAGCAGTGTTGCTCATTTCATTCATTTAAGCACCTCCTGTGTGAAATTCCTATTTGCAAATGGAATAGGGCAAAGTCTGAGGCTGAGGGATCACTCACTTTCTTGAATGAGGGCAGAAAATGAGGATTGGTTATGTAACCAAGTGGGCTGTCCCAGCAAATGCGTAGTGACAAATTCAGCTTCCCTCTATCTGAGACTGTATTGATTTCACCTCTATTCCTAAAGGCTATTTCCATTGGGTAAACAATTCTGGGTTGACTTTTTTTTTTCAGTTCCTGAAAAATGTTCATTTCCTTCTGGCCTCCATGATTTCTGATGAGAAATTTGATGTTATTTGGATCATTGTTCCCTTATATCTAACGAGTCTTTTCTGCTTTCAAGAGTTTTGTCTATAGGTTTCAGAAATTTGATTGAGTGCCTTGAACTTTAGTTTATATTTTTTAGAGTTTATGCATTTTCTTGAACCTCTAGGTCTATGCCTTTCACTAACTTTGGAGCTATGTAGCCAGTTTTTCATTGCATACTGTTTCACCCACATTATACCCTTTTGGGGGGGGGGTGGCTCTGAAAACACCAATGTTAGATCTTGGTTACTACAGGTTCTTGAGACTCCATTTTTTCTTTTTCAGCCTATTTTCTCTGTTGTTCAGAATGGGAAATTTCTATTGTTCTATATTGAAGTTCATGGACTCTTACCTTTGACATCACCATTCTATTACTGCACACATCCAGTGAGTTGATTTTACTTTTTCCCCATTCTACAATTTCCATTTGTTTCTTTTCCATATTTTCTGTATCTTTATGGCAACTTTCTCTTTTTTCATTTGTTTCAAGTGTGTTTGTAATTGCCCAATGAAGTATTTTTATGACTGCTTTAAAATCCTTGTCAGATGACTCCGCCTGTGCCATGCTATTGTTGACATCTGTTGTCTTTTCCCATTCAAGTCGAGATTTTCTTGGTGTAGTGTGTAATTTTGTTTGTTTGTTTTATGTATCCTGGACATTTCGTCATTACATTATGACATCCTGCATCTTATTTCAATCTTCTGTTTTACCAGGCTCCCTCTGATGCTGTGCCTATATCGGGGGAGGGGGGTGGTATAGAAATCTAGGTCCCCATGAGGCCTTCACTGACATTCCACCCCACTGGGGTCAGGGGGTCAGGGAGTATCTTGTTAGTCAGGTGGAGGTAGAACTTCAGGACCCTGCTCTGCCTCCTCTGCACCACCCCAGGAGAAAGAGGGGGAGCGACTTGTTACCTCCAGGCAATGGTCAAGCCCAGGCTCTCCACCAACTATTTGATGATGGGGGTGAGGATGGAGGCATGGTGTTTCCCATGCAGTTTAGATAGAGTGGGGCAGGTTTTGTTCAAAGGGTTGTCTTATCGTGCTGTCCCTTTCCTCATCCTTTGGCAAGAAAAGCAGCCTTTGTTGGGGGTGGTATATTTTGTTTAAACGCATTGGCATTTCTGGGTGTGGGCTCCTCCAGCACTCTGTTCAGGGTATAAAAGAGACAAAAAGAGAACCCAGGGAACTCAACACCATGCTGTTCCTTAAACACAGGGTCCCCGGTCAGCCCTCCTTCTCTTCATCTTTCAGAGCCTTATGTTCGGGGTTCTTAGCTTGCTTAAGGGGAGGAATAGGGAGAAAGGTATCTGCTCCATCTTTTCTGGAACCAGAAGTCCAGCTTCCTTAACAGAAGACATTGCTTGCTTCCTTGGGTAATTCTATTGTCTCCACCTGGAGGAATGGGGAGACTTTCTCCAGCACTGAACAACATCTAGATACACGTCTATTCTAAACAAGCCCAGGCATCCTTCTCCAAGGGCCTCTGCTGCCTGGTATGCCCACCACTCATGAGCCGAGGAGCAAGAAAGCAATATTAAGAAAAAGGAGATTTAGGGGATGGAGACATTTCTAAGAGAAAAGCTGTGTAATGGTGATTTATCAGCAATTTATTTTTTACTCCAGTACTTCCCCCACTGCAGTAGATAATAAGAAAAAGGGAAATACACTTAGAAAGGGAGCTTCAGAGCTTCATTATTAAAGTGTTACATACTTTTTTCCACAGAATTCCATACCCCCACTCCAGGCAATGATTTAGAAAAACAAAAACAAAAACAAAAACAAAACTTTCTTTTGTTCATTCTTGTTTTTATTTAAATCTTTACTTTATTGGACTTATAACTGATTTTGATTAGAGAGTCATAGGATCTCTACCTAATAACTACAAAAAAAGCAGATTGTAATGATGACAAGTTATGTACTTGATGTTGACACTAATGATCATAAAAGGTGGTAGATACGTTAATCTTCTTGCTCTATAGCTCTTTCTTGGTGGAGCCATAAGACCTACCCTAGATCTGATGATTGATGGTGCCTGGGGTTGGATGTTTAGAGGTTTTTGAAGAATTTCCTTTTTTTTTGTACTTTTGGTATTTTCTATATTAGGTTGCTAGCCTCTTTTTTCCCAGAAGAGCTCTTGCAAGACGAGTATTGAATCTATTATTACGAGCTTTCCTACTACGACAAGAATCCAGGCCTCTACGGAACTTGACTCTGTTCTGAAATGTACCTTCCAAGCCTTGCATTTTCTGCTTATACCTTTCTACCTTCTGTGCTTCTAATAGCCTCTGTTCTTTCTTGTCCTGTACATAGGTCATGGGGATTGGCTTCTCTTGCAGAGTTGCATCTTTCAGGTGATAGAGTTCCTTGAGAAGCTCTACCCTCTGCTGTAAGATTTGGCATTCATTCTCCAGCAAAGCTAAAATCAAACGTAACGAATACGTGTCATGTTTCAGTTTCCTCACCTGTTCCTCCAGTTCACAATTAACTGACACCTTGTTATTCAGTTGAGTTTGGAAATGGACTCCTTTGTGTTCAAGGGCTACTCTTATGTCATTCTGAGATTTCTGGTACAATCTTATTAGTTCACTGAGCTCAGCATGTTGCACACTCCAGTGTTCTGCTTCCTGTAGTAACTGCTCCATGTTGTTCCTAAGTTTGATATTTTCCTCTGGAACATGATGGAATCTGTACTCTGCTTTTCCCCTACTTAACTGAATTTCATTAACAGCTCTTTTTACTTCTGGATGATTTACCAAATTTCTTGCCAAACCACGTACTGCGTTCTTTGAGTACTGGTTTTCCAACATCATCTCCTGTTTCATTGCATTCTGGTCTTCATCTAGGTCTGAACAACTAAGCAGGCTTTCCAATAGCACTTTATTTATTTTATCAAGTCCTCCAATATTTTCTTCAAATTCTGATGCAGTCTCAGAGATATTTGTTTCCTCATAATATTCTCTTGTTTCTGCCATCTTCTTTTCATAATTTGTCATATTTTTAAGAGTATCTTTCATTTCTTTGAAGAGATTTTCAAAGTTCTTTGCAGGCTGTTGTTGAATTTCTTGATGGCAGCTATTATTTAAGGAAGGGAGAAATGATCCACTTTCAAACAAGGCAATGACAATCTTAGGGTCCAAAGACTCTTGACTGAAATCAGGAGTAGGTTTAAGAGTTTCAGAGGGTGGGCGCTTCCATCTCAGCTGAGTTAGTAGGGCTGGTAACCAGGGCACAAAGAGCAGGAAACCTTAGAGATTCCAGGAAGGTAATGGTCCTCCGTGCAAATGGGTAGAAAATGTGGAACAAAGCAGAAGCCAGAGACCAGAGTTAAAGTCTAAAACCAGGCAGATGATATTTAGGTGGAAAGTGACATTTCAGACAACCTATGGGGAAAGGAAGGTGGGAAAGGGGACCAGGAGCTAAAGCCCCATCTGTCCTCCTGGCTCCTGGTATTTATTCCTTGACCCTAGCAACCAGGTCTTTATTCTGTCACTGCTACCTGTGGCCACCTCCAGCTTCTGTTTCCTTTGTGTCACAACTGAAGCCTCTGAACCCCTACTCAGTGACTCATGCATCAGAAGCAACTCTGAGCTACTCCTACTCCTCACCCCAGGAGGATCTCTAGATGTTTATAAAGCTCATTCTAATTTCATTTAGTGACTTTCCCACCTCATTCCCACTACCTGCAACCACAACCTTAACTGCAGCACGTTTTTCTGCCACCCAGGTGCAGGGCTGAGAGAAGTCCTGCCTGGTGAGTTTCCCTAACCTTTTGTAACACCTGGAGACCTTACTGCTTCCATTCGAGGAGAGATGCTATTATAAAAGGAAGTTATCCTTACAAAATAGAACCCCAAAAGGGCTGCATCTTTTTGTGATTTTAGGAAATAATGTTGGAAATCATTCCATTCAAAAATATTCTACTGCAGAAATTGTTCCATTCAAAAATATTCTAAAGAAGAGAGTACTTGAATGGTTCTTAACGACACAATTACAAATGGAACTTTTCTTGACTTCAAATGCAGGCATCCTTCAAGACAGGCTTGGTTAGGTTGCTCCTGTGTCATTTACATCAGGGGATATAAAACTTTTTACTTATTACTTTTCACAAGAACTTGTTAAAATGGCATAACTTATCTGAAGCATTTCAAACAGCTAAAACCCTGTAGTTGATTATAGAAAAGTAAGTGAAGTTACCTTGAGAATATTAAGTTTAAAGAACACATCCCTTATGTGAGACTTTTTCTTGGCCTTCAAAATCTTGCTAGTAAGCACTTTAGTAACTAGACATTTGCTTTCAATCTTAGGGGAAATCTTACTCTCTACTAGTTTTTTTTTCTTTTATTTTCTTAGGGAAACAAAAAAATTTGTTTTCCTTTCACAGTAACCCGCTCACTTTTGCTTCAGGGTCCCTGAGCCTCCTGCTCATCTTCCAGCCAGCCATCACCTTGTGACGGTCCACAGATACAGCAGTGCTGGTCTGCTGTTTACGACAAGGAGAAGCACCTCTTCTACTCTACGTAATGACACCACAGAGGCTGGCCATTGTTCTTACGCTTTAATTCCATCTCATAAGGTTGGATTCTGACTCAAGCCATCATTTAAGATAATTTTTTAATCTCTAGGATGAGGAAATGTTTTAATTTTTCTGTTTTGGTCATTAATTTCTAGCTTTATTGCATTATAATCAGAAAATATAATATTTCTACCTTCTGAAATTATATGTTCTCTTTGGCCTAATAAATATTAATGTTCATATGCATTTCATAGATATTTGAAAAGAAAGTGTATTCTCTATTTTCTTCTTTTGCTTGCAGCTCTTTGATGCTTTTTGGACATATCTCATATTATCCTTGGCTTTGATTTGTATGGAAACTGGTTTGAAGGTAGCTTTGTCAAGACAGCAAAAAAATTCTTCTCCTCTCATCAAAAGGGGATTTGAATATTTTCTTCCTCCTTACAATTATAATGAATTTCAAATAACATTTCTTTTTTTTTAAAGATTTTATTTATTTATTTTTGGAGAGGGAAGGGAAGGAGAGAGAGACACACACACACATCAATGTGTGGTTGTGCGGTTGCTGGGGGTCATGGCCTGCAACCTAGGCATGTGCCCTGACTGGGAATCGAACCTGCGATGCCTGGTTCGCAGCCTGTGCTCAATCCACTGAGCTACACCAGCCAGGGCTCAAATAACATTTCTGTTAATTTGACTGAAATGAGAGTTCATTATAGATGGTAAAAGATATTCAGAGAGGTCCTCTTTTCCTTATTGACCTATATTCCTGTTGAATAACTATGAAAGTTAAATACATTTGGATTATCTTACATTTGTTATCTATAATATTAAGTTTCACATAGCTTAAT